GAACCGTATGACTGTGGTGCAGGCCTACATCGCAGGGCGACACTTTAAAAGAGTACCTGAGCCAGACCTCATCCCAACCAAGATCCTGGACCTGCTCATCCTAGGCATCGGGGTCAACTGCGCCTACACCACCAAGATTATGGTGAGCTTTATAAATAGCTGTTCATTCAGGAAGCTCTGTGGGTTAAGTATTTAGCACTGTCATTCCAGCTTAGGACTCATCAGATCCCATTCTTCAGGATTCACTTGACAGACCAGAGTGCAAAGCAGACAAACTGGTTAGGCTGCTTCTATGAGTTTAGAAACCAATGACTAATATTAGAGATCAGTTCCTTTTCTGGTCAGCAGGTCTCTGCTTGAGTGCTGCACCTTTGAAGTTGACTCATTATGAGCACAGAAGGATGCTTGTCCTTCCTTTAATTTAATTTGACATTTGTACCACTGCATAGAAGTACATAGTTTGCACACTGAACTTGTACCATTGTTTCATTATACTTTCAATCCCTGAAATACCAGTCTTCTGTTACCTTATTACCCAGCAGCCTTTCTATAAACGAAGTGCACAACCTAAATTCTAAATCAAGACATGAAACTATCAGGTACTTACCAGGTTATAAAATAATTTAAATCTAATCTAAAATGTTATTTTGACCATTGTTTATAGAGCCACCTTTAGCAGCAATACCTTAGTCATTTTATGTATGACTTTATCAGTCTATCTTAGTATTGTGGTGGAATTTTTACCCACATTTCTTTGGCCACTATTCAGTTTTGGAGACATTTGTATCTTTACAGCTCTCTTAAGATCCCACAGCAGCATTAAAAGGTCTAGACCTTGACTGGGCCATTGCAACAACGTTTACCTTTTCAGTCAATCTGCCATGGGTTTGTTGCTGTATTTAGGATCATTGCCCTGTTAATGGCCTAGTTTGGGCCAAACTCCAGTTTCTGGACAAATTCCCTCACATTTGACTTTAGAATACTTTGGCTTGCAGAGGAGTTCATGTCGACTTAATGGCTGCAAGGTGCCCTGGTGCTGCACATCAACAACCCTTCACCGCCATGCATAACAGTTGTGCATTATGGTCAAGCATCTTTACTTTACTCTTGTATGTTCTGACAGTAAAAATATGTTGACATGTGCATAGAAGGTTCTCTCTCTCTGTCGTCTGTCATTGTATGTATGCCTCCTTCTCGCCACAATGACCGCAGAGATTGACCACATGCCAGTTTGGACCTGCCTTTCAAATGTGCTAATTATAGACGTAAAAAAGCATTAAATCAGAAATTTATTTGATCTTCCTTGCCATTGGAGCCAATGCAAGCATCCGACATGCCTAGGTGAAGGAACCTTCCTTAGTGCCGACAGAGCTAAGATTAAGCAATAATATTATTGGGACATGCTGTGATAACTGTAGACTGAATCAATCTATTTTGTTATATTGTTTCACTAACAGTGCAAATGTGGAATCCATGGGTATGTATCAGGTGGGATATATGTGCAGTCACCACTTTAGTAGAGATGTTGTTAAGCACGAACCTACATGTTAAGCAATAAAGCATTGAAGTCCTGTGTCAAATGTATTATTCATTAAAATGAGCTGATTAGGTACTATGGGTCTTTTGGTGAGTAAGGTTGCCCATATGATCTACATGAATGATTGTATGTGCTAATACAATGGTTAGTTAACGAGTAACGATAAAGTAATCTACCAAAAATACTATCACTTCTTCATCAAAGTTAACGAAAAAAAATACAAAGGCTATCCTTCTCTTTTTGAATTTGCACCAGCTCCCCGTGACCCACTATGGAATAAGCGGTAGAAATGACTGACTGACTGAACATTAAATTGTCTTTAACTGCTAATCATGTGGTGTCGATAAATATGCTTCTTGCTTCCTGCAGCCTCCTGAGAGAGAGGGTGGGCTGCCTCGCCAAGTTGGAAACAAGACCGAATGTGCCTTACTGGGACTCAGCCTAGACCTGAACCGAGATTATCAGAATGTTCGAAATGAAATCCCAGAGGAAAAGCTGTTCAAAGTCTACACATTCAACTCTGTGAGGAAATCTATGAGCACCGTATTGAAGAACTTTGACCGCAGCTACCGAATGTTCAGTAAAGGGGCTGCCGAGATCTTGCTTAAGAAGTAGGTTTACTGCTTCTACCCACACAGCTCTGCACTCTGTCACATTCATACTCTGATCACACAACTGACATCTGCTTTCAGGTGCTGTAAGATTTTGACAGCCAGTGGAGAGGCCAAGGTCTTCAAACCTAAGGATCGGGAACATCTGGTAAAGAATGTAATTGAGTCAATGGCATCTGAGGGGCTAAGGACAATCTGTCTTGCCTACAGAGACTTCCCTATCACTGACGGAGAGCCTGACTGGGACAATGAGGCCGAGATCCTCACTAGACTTACGTGCATCGCTGTGGTTGGCATTGAGGACCCCGTACGACCTGAGGTTTGTCATCTCCCCTGGGTAAAATCAATGTCAAACTCACAGTGTTTTAAAAGCAGAGAATAAATATGTTTTCAAGTCATATTTAAAAACAAGGGACGACAGAGTGACCTGGCTAATGCCTATAAAAAATAGCTGCAAAATTCCAACTAGAAGGTCAGAAAAGCATGGATTACTGATTCCATGTCACGCCTAGAAAAAGGAGGTTTAATCTTAGAGAGACGTCTAAGATGAAAAAAGGAGGATTTTCCCACAGCATTAACGTGGTTATCAAATCTAAGGGCAGCATCTATACTGACACAGAAGTTGATGACCACAGACTTCAAATGAAGGGTCAGAGTGAAGGTGGAACATTTGAGACTGAATAAAATCACTTTGGTCGACAATGTTATAAATGGTAAGGAAAAAATTATGAAATAAATTTAATTTCTGTGGACTGCATGGTGGAGCAGTTTGTATCCCAGGTGTCTTTGTGCATGCGGTGCACTAACCTGTATAACAAATGCATTAATGCATGGATGGATATAATTCCTGCTCTGCCAGCTATCTAAAGTGCTCTTTTGATCTCACCATGTATCACTCTGTGCTTATCTGGTTTTGTTTATTTCCCATAGGTACCAGAAGCCATCAGAAAGTGCCAGAGGGCTGGGATCACTGTCCGCATGGTAACCGGAGACAACATTAATACTGCTCGGGCCATCGCCACCAAATGTGGCATTTTGCAATCCGGAGATGACTTCTTATGTATAGAGGGAAAAGAGTTCAACCAACGGATCCGTAACGAATTGGGCGAGGTCAGACAAATGACAACAGAAATGGCTTAAAGCAGAGAAATGTGAAAATTAAGTTCTGCTTTTGACCATGTATCACTCTACATGGTGAACGGATGAAAATCTAATCGAATATCTTTCTCACCTTACTCATGTCAGATCGAACAAGAGCGTATCGATAAGATTTGGCCCAAACTGAGAGTCCTTGCCCGATCATCTCCAATGGACAAACATACTTTGGTCAAAGGTTAGTCATGTATAAACCAGACCATGAATTGTGGATGTTGTTGATATTTGCTCCCCAACAGATTTCTTGTACTTTTGTTTCTTTGTCACACAAGTTTAAGATCATCAAAAAAAATCTATATCAGATAAAAACGTAAAGTCCAAATAGCAGTTTCAAATGTTGATTTCATTTAATAAGGGAAAAACCAACATGGCCCGTGAAAATATAATTGTACCTCTAACCCTGATAAATAGGTGTGTCACCCTTGGCTGCAATAACTACTTCATAGTGTTTACAATAACTTGCAAGGACTTTTTTACATTACTGTGGAGGGATTTTGGACAATTCACCGAAGCAATATTGTTTTAATTTAGCAACTTTGGAGGGTCTGCAGTATGAACCGCAAGCATCTCAGTCGGATTTCAGTCCAGACTTTCTTTAGGCCACTTAAAAACCTTAATTTAAAAAATGTGCAGCTTCCACAAAATTATTCTTTTGTCTTTTCAGTCCACAGAAAACTCTCCCATGGACACAATTCTTTCCCCAATGTCTTTTTAATTGTTGAATCATGAACACTGGGCTTATCTGATACAAGTGAGGCCTAACGTTTTTCAGATGTTGTTCTGGATTCTTTTGTGACCACTTGGATAATGTTGATCCACTCCTGCAGAAAAGGCTGGAAAACTAGCCACTCTTGGGAATGTTACCCACTGTTCCCTGTTTTTTCACCATTCAATAATAATAATCACTCTAACTGTGGTTTTCTGGTGTCCCAAAACCTTAGAAATGTCTGTGTAACCCTTCTCGGGCTGATAGATGTCAGTGACTTTGCTTCTCATCTGTTCTTGAATTTCCATGAATCTGGACATAAGCGGTTGTTTTTTGAGATCTTTTAGCCTACTTCAAGGTTCCATATAATTATTTTCCTTGATTCTTCAGGTCATCCAGTATTCAGGCCCCGGGTCTGGCTAGTAAAATTGGGCTCAGCATTCCCAAAAGTGGTTAATTCGCGATTTTTAAAAGCAAAGTGGGAGACAGAGCTTTTACTTATTGGGCTGCTTACCAGTGAAACCAGCGCCCAGTTTTTGTCTGTAAGTCAGAAACCGTGTCTACTTCAAAGACTAGGCCTGAAACTTTTCTATACAATAAAGCTTATAGTTAAGGCAGTGACGCACGAAGTCAGTCCTCAAGGGCCATTGTCCTGCATGTCAACACATCTGAATAAATTGATGGTTCATTAGCAGTCCTCTGCAGAACTTGACAACATGCTGAGAAAGTAGTTGGACCATTTCAGTCAGCTGTGTTGGAGCAGAGACACGTCTAAAGCTGGCTGGACACCAGCATTTGAAGGGCGGGAGCTGGACACCCAAGAGTTAGGGTGATGTAGTTTATCCTGAGCTATAATCTGTCAAGCTGTCCAAAAAAATTTTGTTAATCACAGTTAATTAATGTTTTTATATGATTGGGCAATTACTTTTTTACATAGGGCAATGCTTATTTGGGTTGCATTTTTCCCTTAGTAAATAAAATGATGAGGGGCTGCACGGTGGCACAGTTGGTAGCACTATTGCCTTGCAGCACGAAGGTCCTGGGTTCGACTTCCCAGCGGGGGTCTTTCTGCATGGAGTTTGCATGTTCACCGCGTGCATGCGTGGGTTCTCTCTGGGTACTCCAGCTTCCTCCCACAGTCCAAACATGACTGTTAGGTTAATTGGTTTCTCTACAATGCCCTTAGGTGTGAATGAGTGTGTGCATGGTAATTTGTCCTGTATGTCTCTCTGTTGCCCTGCGATGAATTGGCGACCTGTCCAGGGTGTACCCTGCCTCTTGCCCGTAGACTATTGGAGATAGGCACCAGCTCCCCCGTGACCCACTATGGAATAAGCGGTATAGACGATGAATGAATTAATAAATAAAATGATCACTTTAAAAACCCTTTTTTGTATTCACTGAGATTATTTTTGTCTGATAAGTTTTGTTTGATAATCTGAAACCATTGTAGGGCAAAAAAGCAAAACCAGAAGAAATCTGTAAGGGACAAATATGTGTTCACTGCACTGAAAGGGTTAGTTGTGTTTTAAAGTTTTAAAGTTGAGAAGATCTTAGCAGTTATTATTGGTAATAGTTCCCTTAACTTTTGTAGAAATATGTGAAACCACTGTAAACCTGCTGGAAAATTAAATACATCTTCAGAGGTGGTGGAAGCTAACAAACCAGTGAGACTTACATTGTATCTGTCATGATCCACAGCTGTTTGCAACTTGGTTCCCACTTGTGTTTAAATATAGATTATTTTAGTGTTATTGGCATTAGGGCCTTTCCATATTAGTTTATTCCTTTACGCTTCGTTTCTAAGTGCTTGTATACGGTTTGGCGCATTTTGGATTAGACTCTTTTGTTGATATTAGTCCTTAGCCTTTAGTTAGTGTTTTTGTTATTTTTCTTCTGTGGCCATTATTTATCCTTCCCTTAGATCACTGCTTAGATCCACTCCCAGCTATTCTGCAATCTGCTGATTGTACTGACCTGGTTTCCGTGTTACTCGTTACTCCTCCTAAAGGCTTAAGCTCCTTGGTTTCTTTCTCTCACTGCTGGATTCAACTGTTGCTCCCGCCCAGGTTCCTGTGTGTTTTCCTCGTGTTCTGTAAGTCCTTCAGTTTCTTCATTAAATTCTGCATAATGGGTCTGCCAATGCCTTGTTTGCATTTGGGTCCTCATCAACAAACTGCAAACATGAAAGAAGAATCCAGCCAGAGAGGGGACCTAGCAACAGGGGTCAAAATGATTACTTTCTTGAGTATTTTCAGTTGGACGCAGAGAAAAGTAGGCATTGGTCTGAGGACTTTGTTGACCCACAACTTTTGATTTGATTAGACTAAATTTTATTCTCATTGCATATGTCACAAGTACAAGGCAATGGAATACAGATTGCATTTAACCAAAAGGTCTTAAGCATAAAATAATATATGCAGATATTTACATATTTATTACTATTACTGTAGATATATACAGATCTTGACTAACAGTTTTGAAAATTTATTGTATATCTTGTAGTGCAAAATGGTGATTAAAGAAATTAACATAATATACCGTGATGCCATCAAGACCTGCAGCTTTGTGAGCGTTGATCCTGCTCCGCACAGCTCTGACCTCAGTGGAAGAGAGCATTAAAGGTTGCTGCTCAGGAGTCAGGACTGCCTTGGTTGCAGATGCTTGGCTGTCCTTCTCAAAGCGAGAGCAGAAATTGTTCAGGTCATTGAGAAAGGAAATTTCAGAGAAGAGGAGGGGATGAGCTGATGGGGTTGTAGTCACTGATTACCTGAATTGCCTTAACATTCAGCTTGTAACAGAACTTGGCTTTCTTGATGCCTCTTTTAAGGTCAGCTCTGGCTTTACTGTAGACTTGAGCATCTTCGGATCTCCCTCAGCAGGAGACTGACATTCCTATTCATCAAGGGCCTCTGAATTGGGAACTAGGTGACCTGTTTCTGGGTGGTGACGGTGTCTATGGTGGTGAAGACAGGCAAACATTTTCCAATTTGTGTGTCTGAACCAGTCCTGCATGACAGAGTGTGTTTCTCCGGGGCGCATTTTTATTGTCCTCACTGTGGATTTCACACATTGGATCAGTGGCAAGTACTTGGGGGAGGGAAAAAGAGAGAGATGGTCTAACTGTTCTATGTGGGGGAGGGATGTAGCTTTGTAAGCTTCAACTGTGTTTGAATAAACATGATCTGGTGTCTTGTTTCCTTTAGTGTGTTAGGAAACATGTTGATAAAATCGGGGAAGCACTGTTTTCAAGTTGGACTGATTAAAATCACCTTCAACAAAAAAAGCAGACTTGGGGTGTGTTGTCTTCTGTTTGCTAATGGGGAACAAGGCAGGCTACAGCTCTGCCTGGAAGCGGCCAATGGTAATAAAGCTCATCATCGTCTCCTTAGCACAAACCACCTCTTCTGCGTCATGGGTGCTGGCATTGCCATCAAACCTTGTAGACAGCATCTGTGCAAGACAACTTCGCACCTCTACTGGAAGGGTTGGTGAGGAGGTTCCCCGACAGCCTGCTCCTCAGCACCCACATGGGCTTTTTGGCTGAGCAGTTGATGGCCGAGCTGCACTTTTGCTTGCAGCAACAGAGCCCAAGCCTCCAGCTGTCCCAGCAGCCTAACCCCATGCCTCACTTTCACAATTGGGGACACCATTGCCAGAATGCCTCCACTTCTTTACCAAAGAGCTTGGCCGCCACCTCCAGTTCAGCTTCTCCTCTCAGAATACCAGAGCCTTCTCCTTGCCTCAGAGCCCCAGAGCCTGCTCCTGACCCGAAGCTGCTGTCGCCTCAACCACAACCACCCACATGTAAGTCAGTATGTGGCCGATTGGTGCTTATTGATGGAAAAAAGGCAAAGGTGCAGTAATAAAACCAAGATAGAACTAAATGTTGTTATGGTTAAAAATTCAACAACACCACCAAGACTATGGGGGACCCAACTCTTGCTCAATCCAGGTTAAAACTGCAGGGATGAACAGTGCTTTAAATCAAACCAAGAGTTATGAGTTTAACAATAAATTTATTACAATAAACTTTTTAAACAATACCAGAAACCAATATCCCAAGGGCATCCCTGGGCAGCTCCACACCATCCGGCAAACATGCAAAGCACTTTGGTGAGTACTTGGCTCTGCACCTCAGTTACACCTCTGTCGCCTCGCTGGACGCTGTCCTCCCAGGGGCACTCTCCATGTGCCGACTTCGTCTCTGCCCCACTTGTCTGCTGAATGTGGTTGCCCGTGCCCTTCACGTTTCTGCCAACTTTTCTCTCTGCTGGCTTGTCTCAACTTGTTCCCCTGCTTTCTCTTAGCTGTCCCCACTGTGACTTTGACCCCCAGCGATCGACCCAGCACTCGATCTCATCCGACTCCCACATCTCCTCCAAGCCTCATTTGACGGCACCACTCCATCAGGCATATGTACAAAGCACCATGGCAGGTACTTAGGTCTGTATCTTGGCTACGCCTCCTCGTCGCCGCTGGCCTTGCTGGTCACTATCCTCTCAGGGTCACTCTTCGCGTGTCGCCTTGTTCTCCACCCTACTTATGGCAGATGTGATATTCTCTTTCCGCCCATCAATCGTCCTCTTTATCTCTCTTTTTACTTCCATGTCACTCACCTGATGGAAAACACCTGTGTGATTGGCGAGTGGGCGTCTGAGGTTGGGCTGTATAGTGGACCATGGCCTGACTCAAAATAAACATGCAACACAGCAAACCTAAATAAATCCAAACCAAAAACACAGCAAACTAGTAAAACAAAACATACAAGGACCAAAACAGAAAAGGGCATCTTCCCACAAATACCTTATGTTCCCGTTTCCAAGTGCCTCGAGGGGTCAAAGACAAAACCTCTTAGAATGAAATTCCAGTTCTCAAAATCTCCAAGGAAACTCAAGAGGACTCCAGCCAACAAGCTACTCCAGATTAAGATTAATAATAATAATACTAATACATTTTATTTAAAAGCCACATTTCAGTGCACATAAGCTCAATTTACAAAAATAATAAAGCAAATTAAAATTAAAATTGAAAATCAGGATGAAAACGTTTGTTTGAACAGATGAGTTTCAGGTGGGGTTTGAAAAGAGTCAGAGTGCCAGCGTTCCTGATGTCAAGAGAGACGTCATTCCAGAGGCGAGGGGCAGCTCATCTTAAGACTCTGAATTCCATAGTGGTCAGACGAGCAGGAGGCACAATGAGGTTGATGGAGGAGGCTGATATAAGAGACCAGGAGGGAGTGTTAATGTGATGGATGGCCTTAAATGTTTGAAGCAGGGTTTTGAATTCAAGGCGGTAGCCAAGTTTTAACCAGAGAAGTGGGTAAAGGGTCAAGCAGGCAGGTGGACGGTTTAGATTTCTGAATCACATCTGGAATATCACACTCTGGCCTCAGTCTGTAAACTACCACGGCATCCTGTCTTCACCCATCATTCTCAATACGTTCCTGTTGCCAAAGTTTTTGAGGGGGCTCAGGAGAATTCACCTCATGTGCCTGTTCTAGATTTTACTAACGCTTTCAAGCTCCTCTTTCATTTGGGTCCTCATAGACAAACCACAAACATGACAATATCAGTCCTTTTAATGAAGCTAATTTCTCTAATCAGCTGATTGTGAGTCTGGTGAGGTAATTTTGAAACAAAAACAAACCTGGAATGCACAGGAACATACCATCTTTGAACCACAGTGACACAACTGGCATAAAATCCCAAAATTTGCCCCTGTTCTTGCATATGTTCCCTGACAACTCCACTGCATCCAATATATGAATGTGAGTGAAAGGTGATGTGACATTAAATGATACAAGTAATTTCCCTGGAACCAGCTTCAGTTGTCCGACTTTGCTGGCAGGATATCCACCTCTTATTTAAATATGAGGACAACTTCTACAGACAGAGGCATGAATGTGCCACAGGATGTCCAATTTTACACATCATGGCCAATCTCTACATAGAGAAAGTAAAAAGCAGAGAACTTACTCATCATTGGGGGCATGTTACTTTATTTTATTGTATTATTGGTACTTGTTTTTGCACATCTACCATATTCTTCTTTGATTGCATATTTTTTCATAA